AAAGTACATTTATACGTTATTATGAATATTTTATACATTTTCACTCATATTTATGGAATTTTAAATACTGAGAAACTCTATAAAGTTTATTTGATTAATGATGAATTTAATAGATATTGTACAAATTATATATTATGAAATAAAATTGTTTTTTATGTAGTCGTTATTTTACACATACATTTAATGATTCTTTTATGTTATTTCGTTCAATAATACATATTTTTGTTAGCCAATTAATATTCATTATATCTGAAATTCCTGCAACTAACTCTTTTTTAAATTGAAGTAAATTCATTGTTATATTATAGAATAATAGAGAAGGCAGCCAATTATACATTTAAAAATAAAAAAGTAGATTTAAGTTGAAAAAAAAGTATATAAATTTGTTTAATGAAACATCAAACATGTCTAAAGATTTGAAAGTTATTGAGACAAAAAAAAAAAAAAAAAAAAAAATTAAACTAAAACACAAGTATTTGTATATCTCCAATAAAACATTTTAATAGATATTGCAAATTTCAGAGTCAATAAAAGAAGTTAATAGCTGGTTTAAAATATTGTCAAATCTTATTCTTATTTAAGGTTATTAACAGTTAATATTTATAAAACGATCAGTAGCTGTCAAACAAATATTTTCATTTTAAAAAATTGCATAAAACAAATTATCGAGCACTTTCATGGAATGTAATAAATTGATACATTTACCTATTTATTGTAACAATTAATATAAATATTGCGATCTTTTAAAACATTATTGAAATACAATTTTAAATAATATAAAAAGTTGATTATCACCCATGGATACATAAAATGAAAAATTAATATATTCTAATTGTATAGAAGAACATATTCTATATTTCCAACGGAATTTTGTAACAGCATGCTTATTATTATTTCACATAAACATATGCAATAAAGTAGTTAAATCAATGTAAGTAAATATAAATTTTATTATCACTACAATTAAAAAGATAACATATATTATGAATATATATCCAATAAGTTAATGAACTTCTACTTTGCAGCAATTATTTTGATGAAAGAATCCATTATGGACTCGAATGTTTGCTGAATAACACAAATTACCTACGGCAATAGCTTTCTTTTAATGGAGATTTACAAAGTGACAAAGACATGTTTTCCATGTCAGTAGATGTCCAGTAAGATTTTTGGTACGAATGAAATTAATGAATGGTTAATCACGAATTCCACTAAACACAGATTCGACTATGCACAATGCTGCTAAGGACATTTGTTCGTGCAAAAGAGGGACTGTTATTTATTAATGTTTATATATGTGATCCTTCTTATTTACTCTCACTACTTGAAAATTAAATATTTAATAATTTGCAAGTAATCAAATTAAAAGTATCAGGCATAGTTAATGGATAATTATTTGATAAATTATATAATCTACGAAATAGTTATTAATGATGTTAAAACAATATATGATTCTCAGTTCTTTCTCTAAAATATCAAATAGTTAACAAATCTCATATTAATACTATAGGTTATTTAATATAATATATTATAAATAATAAATTTGATTGGAAACTGATTACAAACGTGTAAAATAAAACATTAATGTTTATATATATATATATATATATATATATATATTGGTAAAACAAATTAAACTTTAATGTATGTATCTGGCGCACTAAACATGGATAATAAAATTATTTAACTACAAAATTTATAATTTATTATTGTATTTGTATTTCAAATCAAAAATATATTTAAAACGAAGCATCTTTCATGTGTATATATTATAAATTAATAAACCTTTATGATGAGAAAATTTATAATAAAAACAAGACGAAAGTTTCACAAAATTCATATAAGTATTGATTTTTTTAGAGTTTATAATACTTGTTCCGGTTTCGTAACGGTCAATGTATCTTTAAGTGGAAATGAAATGGTTTATATGGGATAGTCAAGAGAATAATTACTCCTTACGGTATCATAAATCCTTCTACTCTTAAATATGACAATTCTACATATCAATGTAATACAGAATAACACTTTATTTGATGGGGATTCCTTCACGTTCACTTTTTATTTCGCTGACACGTGACGTAGATTTATGGATAAAAATATGATGTATAAATATCTTGATAGATATTGTAACATTATAAACTCAAATATCACTGTTATGTAAAAATGGTTTACAAGTATAGTGTAAAATTTTAATAACAAACAATTAAATAAAATTTTCGTACAAAATTTGATAGACAAACTCTCTTCAAACCGGACTAACATTATACTTTATTGAGTTACAGTAATAAATAAAAATGTAATAATAAATAAAAAAACAGTAAAAATTAAATTATTATGTGTAATTTATATGTGATTTAATGTTATTAATACAATATAAACAAGATCTTGTTTTAAATATTTAGTTGAAATTTATAAATAAATAAGATGAAAAGAAGAATGAAATATTATTGTGACAAATTTTCTGCTAAAAGTAATTGATAGACTACTTTTCTATATAAAATAGATAAAAAATTATTCTTTTTATACTGTTATTTTAGTTGTCCTGAATAAAAAGTAAATAAAATATTTATTTGACAAGATAATGTATCGATAAAAAATATATATACCTTAAGTTTGAGAAAATTTCTTAATTCGAAAATATGAGCCTTAACACTCTTTAATCATATTAATTTATTATATAATTTACACAAAATTCTTTTATCCCATACGCATTTATTATTTGAAACTAATCTCACATGCTCTCAACACAAAGACAATGAAATAGAATTAGAAATTAAAAAGACTGATAATAAATCCATTGTAACTGTCTTCTTTAATTTTTATGTTTGCAAGAAATTCCATTAATATTAGACAATGATCGAGTATTTATTTCTTTTGCTTTTGCACATCCAAGTTCTTCAGTTATATGCATCTAAAAGAAGTCATTCATGCTTCGCTACCTACATATAATAAAATGTATGAATGTCTTGTAACAAGCTGTTTCACTTGTAGAACAGATCTCTTGTATATATCATCTTCGGCCATCTTTCATTCTATTGTTATTCTGGCTCTCCGATCCATTGCCGCATTACGCATTTATCACTTTCCCATTGTCACTTTCAATTGCACATTTTTCTTATTTTCTCAATATAATAATGATCTTTCAAACTCTGATTTGAATTAATATTGCCAATAGTTTCATACCTTTAATTAAGCGTACATTAAGGTATATTGCGTAGAATTTGCTCTGTTGAATGTACATTATCTAACATTAACATTAATTAAAGTTAAAAAAAATTTATAATAATAATTCAAAGAACGATACGGCGATTCTATCTTAAATTTGATAAAATTATGTGGAAATTTCATGCATATAATATAATACGATAATACTTTATCTTATATATTACTTTAGTTAGTCGAATAATAGAGTACAAGAAAATTCTGTTGATTAAATTTAAATAATTTATTGTGCCAATATATTAATTTATGCGTATGAGTAAAGCTTATGAGTTTCTTGATATGTTCAAAACTATTGTTAATTTATTTGAAAATTATTGAAAAAGAAGCCCTGGACTATCGTCTAATTGCATAAATATGTATCACAATACTGTATAACATTATTTCTCTTGTAGTATTTTGTCTTATTTAAAAGTGACAATGTATTCACTAGAGGACAAGCAGATTATGATGTTAAAATATCTTAAGCGATTTATTGAAATTGACCGAAGAAATCTATTATTCAGCAAATTCATAATTATTTTCATAATCTGAATGAATAATATAATTTTTATTTTAAGGAGTGATATTAAAAAATTGACGATTCACTCATTTTTAAATTAATGTACATTAAATATAGGTTCCTTCTTTTTTTTTTTTTTTTTTTTTTTAGTGAAAGTATATATACGTATTTTAATACATAATAACATAAACAAGATTGATTTCATTTCATTTGAGAAAAATGCGCAGTGCTCCTTCCGTCCACTATCATAAATTTGTAATTCCGATAAATTTCCACTTAAACTCCAACTAATTAACACATGGAGCTTAACATTTCATTTTTATTATTTAACTTCACGATATAACTGTAAGTTAAAATTTTGTAGTACCTTCAACATTTCATATTTAATTGGAGAAAAAAATGATTAGCGTTAGATTTAATGGCAAAACAAATGGTAAAAGTTTATCGCGTGGAAATTTTTACAATAATATCGCGCTAAACTTTTCATTAACTCGTTCTCAAATGGGTAATCTCATCTAACCGATATTACTCTTAAATTCACGTCCTATCACGCACATCAATATTTCATGTGAATATCAAAAGCTTATGTTCGTTACTAAATGAAAACCACCTTGTCATTCATAAATTATACGGATTTTGTATTCGCAACATGTTAATTAATCCGAGATCCCAATAGCAGCAATTCTATATGTACTTCCTCCGCGAATTATACACCAATTTGCATATCACAATACCACTCCCTATTAATCGAGAATTTCTCCATACGGATGATAAAGTATTCTGGCGCCAAGCTCCCTGTCACTTTTCGTTCGTCCTTTTTCGTTTGACTCTTCTTGGGACAATGCTCTTGTTCTCCTTCTACTTAATTGGCATTCTCTCTTTCTCCGTATGTCTCTGTCTTTCTGTCACTCTGTCTCTTTGTCTCGTCTCTCTATGTCTCTCTTTGTCTCTCTCTCTCTCTCTCTCTCTCATTCTCTCACACTCTCTGGTGACTTAAGGCGTAACGCCCCTTACGCTCGCAGATTAGAGAACAGCATAAACGACGACCAAAGCTCGGTTGACGAACGAGAGAAAGTCGATTGGCAGCTCGCTACACGCGGATTATTCGGAGCATTCGCGGCACTCCGGGGCCACGGAGTACTAAATGTG